GTGCCCAGGGAAAGTCTTCTCCCAGGATGTTCATATAAATGCCATTTACTATCAACACCTTGGACTGAAACAGGAGAGAAGGTCTGAGGATATTCACCCTGACATGGGAGAGGTCGATGGGCCTATTTTCTGCAGAGAAGAAGAAGAAGAAGAAGAAGAAGAACAAAAAAGCAACAAAACCATGTCTTGTTTTTCTCTTTGTTTGCTTGCATTTCATCACCTGTGGTGATAGCAAGTCACCCAGACCCATGACTGTGCTCTGAAGGGGAGAGGACAGCCAGGCTCTGGCAGAAACCACGCAAGGAGCTGGGAAGGAGAGCTGCAGTGATGAACAGCCGCCTTGGCAAAGCCGGCATGGCATGTCCTTCAGTGGGCAGTACATTCAAGGACAGCCTGGAGCCAGGCCAGGAGGTACCAGCAGCCTCAGCTAAGTCTGTCTTGGCTCAAAGCAGGAGTTGACAAAGGTAGGGTGAAAGGCACCTCCTGCCACCTCCTCAGCACCTGCCTTCACCTCTGCAGCCCATTTTCCCCACACCTTCTGCCTGCTGGGGGCCGCAGCTGATGCTGCACAGACATCCTGGCATTCTGTGCAGAGTAGAGAGTACCACAACTAATGTCTGTCCCACCTATTATAAGGGTCTTTGTTAGAAAAATGCACAATGTCCTTGTTGTATTTATTGGATGAGTTCTGCTTTGCTTGGTTGCTGTTTTGCTGTAGATTTCCCTCATCTCTGGAGCTTGCGCTGTCTGCAGCAGAAAACTGAGACGGAGCATGAGGGAGACTAAGGTGGTGTGTGGGCTCGGACTGCTGGCAGCCACAAGCCTCCATCGTGAGATAGGGTACGTTGCAGGAAAAAATTGTTTAATGCCTTCAGTCTGAAATTTGGGAGCAAGTGGCTTTCAGGGATTCTGCACAAAACAGCTTGGCAGGGCATCCTCCATGCCATGGCTCTCCAGCTCCTTGGGGGTGAACAAAGGCACAGCAGGATGACACCAGTGGCCTTGGCTCTGTCTGATGCCATTGCTTCCAAGTCCTCCACCAGCTGGTCCCTCTTGCCCTCACAAATCGCATGCAAGATTTAGCAAGCAAACTGGATCACAGTAAGGAAGCAGGGGTCAAACTTGGTGTGGACACTGAACAGAGACAAACACAGTTCCCTCGATTATCTGGCAGCTGCCTGGGACTAAGAGAAGCATCCCAATGCTGACGGAGGTTGGTAGTCAGGAGTTGGTACAGGCAGAGACAGGTAGAGCAGGCAAACATCAGGAGAGGTGTGAGTGTGTACCCTCTGACCTAAAGGGCCTGTGGCAGAAGATTGTCTCTGCTCACGAAGGATGCGTACCCTTCTCTCTGGCTGTGTCTTTGGTTGGGGGCCAGGAGAACCTGGAGCCCTGCTGTGTCCTGGCTCCTGTGTGAGCTGCAGGGATGGATCTGGGCTGCTGCTCGAAACAGGGTGGAAATAAAGCATCGCCCTGGGTTGCAAATGGTCTTTGAGCAGGAATGTGCTGGGCTACTCCTGTAGGCTGTGGTTGGTGGGAAAGCGAAAACTCTTGAGGAGTGATTCCCATCTTGCAACACTAGGGGTTTTGAATCCCGTATTTACGGCATGTACCTGTCCTGTACCCAGTACCCAACCTGGCACTGGCCACGCAAAATGCTCTGCACCCAAACCGGGCCAGGGCAGCTACAGGTCCTCTAGAACTGCACGGACCAGCTGTTGCAGGACTACAACTGTCTGTGCACTGCTGGAAGAGTGACTCTGACTACTGCGTGTTACGGAGATGAGTATGACATAAGGCAAAAAGTTTAAGCCTCTCTAGGGATTGTGCTGGACTTTCTTCTGTTCCTTGTCCCCAGATGCACTGCTGCAGCCACTGGTGACTTCACAGGCTGAGTGAAGGTGATTGTGGTCAGAGCTAAGGGAGAGATTCAGAAGGTGCTCCAAAAAACCTCACTGTCTTTATTGATGCAAAATTGCTGGATTTTGAACAAGGTAGTACAGCTTAAAGCCACAAGGACCTTATGCGGGTATGTTGAGAGTAGGGAGGGCTCAGAAAGATAAAGGTGGCAATGTTTTTGGGGAGGTATGGAAACACTTTATTTCATTTGAAGTGCTGTGCTACAATTTTGTTTAAATAAAATGCCAGTTCAAAGACCAAGTCTGTGAGGGGGTGGCGACTTCAGGGCACTTACAGCTTTTATCTTTTTAATTCTTGTTTGGTTTTATGGTGGGTTTTTTCATACCACTACATTATAAAGGGTGAGAGAGCGCGTGTTCTTACGGAACCCAGGTTGCATTTTTAAGAGGTAAATGGAAAAAACCTGTGAGCAGACCCACTTTCAAGGCCAGGGTGTAAATGCAGTCAAAGGTTGAGAATAGATACCACCTTCGGTGGCCCACGCTGAACCTTTCACATAATAAATTGAAGCCGAAGGGATCCTGGATTCAAATGTCTCTCTTTCAGGTTGCCGCCCAGCTGGTCAAAAGTCAAAGCAACACACCCTGATCCCAACAGGCAAACAACACTCTGCTCAGCCCTGCTCCTCCCTCTGCCAAAGCAGCTGAGGTGTGAAAGGTAGGCAAGGCACGCTGATGTGCACTTTCTCTGGGATAGGAATTTAGGCAAAAGAGCCTCTTACAGGCAGAGCATTGCTGGTACCAGCAGTGCTAGGTCTATTTTTAATGATTTACAAATGGAGGGTGCTTTCAGCATTAGATGGCTTTAGTAATACATAATTAATATAAGTGCATTTCTGTTGTCTGCAGAGATGGTAGGAAGGCCCTGGCTAACTTCTGAGGCTGTAAAAGGAAAAAGAAGAGGTTGAATGAATCATGATGCATCAATCAGGGGAAATTAGGTAGGAGCTAAACGAAAGTTGCTGAGAATAATTTATTCTGGTCAAAACTGTGTGGTTGGGTTCTGTTTCTGCAGCTGGTTATGCTTCATGGTGCAGCGGAAGGAGCCTCCCTGCCACTGGATTCGATCCTCTGCCCTTGGGAGAATATTCTGCCTGCTATAACTCTGAGCCTGATACATCCTCACGCTTAAAAACCCCAAAAGGTTGCTCTCTGAAATTGTTTCAAATTAAAAAAAACCCCTAACAACTGGTTCCTCCTAAGGAAGAGTGGGGGAATTTCCTTGAAACACATTGCCATCGTTCCTTATAAATAAAATTACTAAAAGTCATCATGAAGCAGGCATAAGCTGTGTCCTTCAGAAGGTGAGGAAACCCGGGAAAAGTGAATAAACTTTTTTTTTGCAGTGGAAGATCAGGTCCAAACCAAAGTTCCTCCCTGTGAGCGACTTCCCGAGGTCCTCTTTACGATGTTGTAAAACTGCAAGTGTACACGCAGGATTGCTCGGCCCCGCCGAGCAAACAGCCGAGTTCTTGCCCTGGAAAGCTTAAAGCCGAAGGCACGAGCGGGAGGAACAATGCGCTACAACGCAGAGCAAACACGGTGGGCGGCTTCATTTTTGCCGAGAGGACAGAAAGAATAACTACAAAGAAGGTGAGGAGAGAGAAGAGAAACTAAAAGGACGGTTTATGTTTGAAATTTTGTAATTTTTTTTCGGGCGAGTGGGGAGGAGAGAAGGGGGAAGGGGGGGGAAGGGGAACTTTTACGACCCGGCGAGGAGGATGCTCGTGGCGGGCGGGATGCGGAGCCTGGAAGGCGCTCGCAGCCCGCACCGCCCCGGCGGGCGCGGGGGGGGGGGGCGGCGGCAGCGGCGGCGATGCCAGAGGCGGCCCCGGCGCTGAGGGAGCGGGGGGGACCGTGCTTGTTCCCGGTTGCCATGGGGAGCGCGGCGGGGAGGGCGGCGCCGCCGCCGCTGCTGCGCAGGGAGCAGCTGCTCCCTGACACATCCCCCCGCTGCCATATTGTGTCCGCCGCCGGCCGCGCGGCTTCATGACCGCGGTGAGTGCCGCCCGCTCTGCCCCCGCCGCGCTCCCCGCCCGCTCCCCGCGTCCCCACGCCCGGCTTTTGTCGCTCACCCCCCACCCCCCCGTGTTTGGGTTTAGTTTTCGGGCTTTGCGTGGGTTTGGGGGATGGGATTTTTTTTTTTTTTTTTTTTTTTTTTTTTTTTTTTTTTGACGCTCCGGGAGGGTTCTGCGAGGGGGGGA